AACAAGTTCCCGACAGGCTTTCAATCCATTGCAGCCCGGTCTGCGTTCAGCTGCGCTTGTGGCAATATCCGACATGTTTGGATTTGGGCAGTATTTGAAAGCCGCTCAAGGGCAGTCAGCTGTGTATGTTTTTTTTCTTCATTTATTGTGCCTTGCCGGCAGGCAAATCGTGGGGGTTTGCTTAAAAGAGAAGCCACGGAGCACCCCACTTTTTGAGGGGTGGGTCCGGAATCTTGCTTTTGGGAGCGATGAGGTGAAGTTGGCATGCCTCAGCGGGCAAGAGTTCGCGGGCGAGCTGCAGCCCAGCGCGGAACAGGCCTGGGTGTTGTTCACAGTGCGAATTATTTGCTCTTTTTGCTTTTCTCTTGGGGTGGGTGGTGGGGGGGGGGAGGGGAAACTTATTTAGCAGTTGTTTAATGGCACTGCACAGTATCTGGGCCTCACAACAGCTGTAGGGTCTATTTGGCCGTATTTGGCAACCTTCGCTTCCGGGTGCGGGAGTCAAGATTTTACGGGTTGAGTCTGCAAAATCGCCTCTCTAAGTTGCTGAAAGGGACAGCAAACGGGAGGGAAGCATTCTGGTTGCCCGGGCAAACCAAAGCGATCGGCACTGCATTTGCTGCGCAGGCTGAGCAAGCCGCAGCAAGGATTGCCATGGACTCATACCAGGCACCGTGGAATCAAAGTTGCACAAATACAGATTAACATGATTGCTGGCAAATCGGCAGGGTTTTCCTGGCAACTCCAGTGCATACACCCGCCAGATCCACCATTGCTTACGAGGCGCTCGTATGTGTAGATGTGCTACCCCTAAATATGCACACAGCATCAGCCATCCTATCGTTTTGAGCATTTTGCTTGATCGCATGCTTGCACCTATTCAAGCCGTTCTTGTCCCAGAAAGAATTTCACTGAGGACTGGTCCACAGTCCAATCGTGTGCACTCCTGGCTGTGTCCCCTTTTGCGTCTTACCCCAATCTGCTAAAACAGCATGCCAGTAATTTTGGGCATATGCACCTATAATATATGGCTGTGGGTCAAAATTAAACCACCAGGGGACCGCAGGTTTTAGTCCTGGGTTCCATTCACCGGTGCTCCATTGGGCACCTATTTTATTGACCCACAGCCGTATGGGGCCTCTGTGAAGCTATAGGCCCTGAGCTGAGGTAGAGGTTTCTCAGCTGGGCCTGGACTCCGTCCAGGCCAGAAGCAGTGAGACTTGGGGCTCCCGAGTGCCACGGACGGCTTTTTGGAAGCTGTCGCTTTGGAGTTGGCTTTGACCGCTGGTTGCAATAAAGGGAAGCAGATGGCAGTGGGAATTGGAGGGCGCTTTTTTGCAAAACATGGAGCCGGGAAGGGTGTTCTCCAAACGAAGATTTGTCCACAGATGGATGGTTTTGGGGGGGTTCATGTTGACTGATGTGCGTGGGGGTACTTGAAAGCCGGAGGTGAAGAAGAGAAAGGGCGGACCAGGCGGGGATCCTTCAGCCAAGAAGCAGAGGCTGGAGTCTGGAGTGCCGGAAGCCCCAGTGGCCTTTGGGGCCAAAGGCGAGTGGTTCGAAACCAATGCGCACGATCCTTATGGTTTTGGCTTCCTTGTTGTTCAGTGTCCCCCTACAGTGTCCGCTGCAGATGCGGATTTAGATAGGGATCGATTTGATTTGGAATCACCCATGGGGCTCGGTTGTCCTTGAGGCTGCCTTTCAAAATGGGCGCACCAAAGGCAGTGTCCCTGAGTTCTGTTTGTTTAGCATAGGTCGAGCTGTCCTGGCTCGGGCTCCCATGCTCAGCTCGGCCCACGCGGGTGAGCTGTCACGCACCGACCCTTTTCAGCGCATTGTTCAGACATCTCGGACGAACGTAAGTGGTAGTTACAAGTACTCGTGAGCATCAATAGGCAGGGGCGCCTGCACAGGCTCTCAAAATGTTCTCAACTGTTCCACGGCAGAGCGGCGATCAATGTAAAGCTTGGCGATGCGACTGGCAATCAGCCAAAGCTTTCCTGGAGGTCGCGAGGCAATTGATCTCAAGTGGACCGGTTTTCTACATTCAAGCTCTTAGAGTGCATTTGGCATTCTGGCTACTCAGCCATGGAGGCCGTCCTCCGGACATAGAGTTACACACGCAATGCCAGGCCAATGCTTAGCACGTAGCGGAAGATGGCACGCACTCCCAAGCACTCCCAAGCATGGGCCCATATGGGCCCCTTTGAAGTGTGGCTGGCGGCACTACAAGGACCCAAATAATTAGAATGGGCTTGCGGGGTACTTTGAGACCAAATCTATTCAGGAAATCATGTGCAATTACTGTACGTATTCAGCTCCTAAGTTAGCCAATCCAACTCGATGTTTCGGGTGCTGAGCCTGAGGATGGGCCTGCCTGGGTTGGTGCCGCCATCCGCGGCAACTGTTGTGGCTACGAGCAAAATGGAGCTCAACACTCATTGCTCGAAGATTGTTCGACGAGTCATGGAGAAGACAGATGCTTGGCAAACATTGAGAAGAACACCCAACCGGGCGACAAAAGCCTTGCCGAGGACGTCATTTATGAGACTGAAGATGTGGAGGGTGGCTTTCAGTCGATTCTGAGGCCAGGGGGATTTTGAGCAGCCACCAAGTCCTGAGCATGGACCACATACAGAGCGGGCCAGAGAAACCAACCAACAGCCACTTGAGCGAGATTTGTGAACCAGGGGTAATGGCAGAGGGATGTTTCGTGCAGCAAGCAATGGGAGAAACCGGCGATTCTGTTGATTTTTTTGCCGAGCGGGCAATAGCTTGGGCTCCTCAAAAAGGTGAAGATGAGGGGAGCACAGTGGCGGGGAGCGCACATGGAAGACACAACGCCGTTGAAGGCTGAATTGCCTTCCTGGCGCTTGGGCAAACCGAGTTTTCGTTGGCGAGGCAGGGTTCTGTTGGGTCCGCTGTGTTTCCGCATGCCACCCACAGCTGGCGTTGTGTGGCTGCACCCCGCAGCTGACGAATTGGCACAGGTTCAGCTGAAGAAGGCCGAGGCAGAGCAGTCGGTGGCGGGCGTCGCGCTGGCGGCGATCCGTAACGATACGACTCTCATGGGCCTGGGGCCAAGAATGTGCTGGCTGAACCTCAGGCATCGAGCTGAGTGACGTGTGTTGAACGCCTGAATGCTCAAACGTACCAGGGATGGCCCCATGGGCATGTTGCGGGAGCCGTGCGGTGAGGCAAATTCTCAGCTCCATCAAAGCCAAAGCAACGACCACCACTCATGAAGGGCAAGGGCAAGGGCAAGGCCATGGGAGAAAATCGGTGCTGATCAGAGTGCATGCTCCGCGGCATTTTTGATCTCAGCTTGTGCATCTCAATATGTTGATCTCGCGTGCTCCATGCCGCCAGGCGACCATGCAAAACATGCAGGCCGCGAACATGCTGCAGCAAATTCAGGCTGTGGACATGCTGCTTGAAGCATACGCTTGGCGAACGGATATAACCTATACAACGTATTGCGGTGAGCAGCCTTGCCACCTTAAGCAAGCCAATATCACTGCTCGATGTTTGATGCATGAAAGGCAGCCAACCTTCCGTGGCTTCAACAATTGCTAATGTCGGCCCCGGATTAATCGAGCTGGCGGATCAATTGAGGGTGTTTCCCATGAAAAGTGATCCAGATTCTGGCCCGACACCCGTGAACCAACCAGGCATTTTTTTTCCGGGATTGACACAGCTTGATGGATTGAAGATTAACGGCATCGTGGCCAAAGTCAGCCTGGTCCCAACTTCCGAAGAAGTCAAGTCGAGGAGCCAGGTTGCCATCCCCACAAAGAGGCAATGTATGGAACTAGGGCGAAAGGTCGCCCTTCGCCAAAGGCGCCCCTTTCGTTGCACACACGCACATGTCTCTGCATACAAACGCATATTGCATCAATAAGTGTGTATATGCCTGCATACATACATAAATATGCAAGACACGTACACATGCATCATGTAAGGGCGGGCACTTGTTTTCTCAGCTGGGGGGTGGGGGGTTGGTTTGCCCGCGGCATTGCCCGCACCTCTTGCGGCAGGGCAGCTCCTTCTCGCTGCCCATGCAGGCGCGTGTTCGGCTGCCGCTTTTTGGCGGATGTCGGCCCGGGAATCAACCCGGCATTCGGGGGTTCTCCAACAAGTGGATCCTCTCAATGCAGCACCCCTCGGATGTTTATTGAGGCACCCTACGGTCAAACACTGTAACACGGGTTTGTGACTCCAGGTTCGGCATTTCCGGCATGCCTGGGGGGGGTTGAAACCTCAGGGAAGCTCCAGCCCATCTTGCAAATGACCCATATGTGCCCACGGGCCAAAAGCTGTGCTCTGAGTATGACATCATCTCAAGCAGCTGCAACGGGGCATCTCTTTGGCTGTTGCGGCCTTTGTATGGTTTGCGTTTGAGCACAGATTGACAGCTTTTGCCGTGCCAGTGCTGTCAGGTTCTATCTGGAATGGGCATCCCCAACACTGGCTTCTGGTGAGAGCCAGTTTCGCCAGTTCGGTCCAGCTGTAATTGGTTGCTTTTTGCTCTTGTCTCACATCTTAAGGTTTAGTAGATACCTAGCAGAATCAAACACATGATATTTTTGGTTGGGGGGCACAAGTTGAGGTAGGTAAAGTACCCATGGAACGTCCTGCTTGAAAGCGTGGCCGGGCCGATGGGGTATGAGGCAAGGTAGATGATGGAGTGCCATTTGGCGGAGTCGCTCGCCAAGTAGACAATTTGAGTGCGTGCTTGTTGTGAAAAGCCAGTGGGGCGGGGAGGCCTCGTGGGCAGAGCTGAAACTTTGGAGCCCGTCACCCAAAAGAAAGCCGTTTGGCCGCTCTGCCTCCTGTATGCCGGGCGGCCAGCATTTAATTTAAGACATCCAAGTGCCGCGTTTTGTGCACTTTCTGATTTGCTTGATAGTTGGTCGAGCCACTTTGCAGCTGTGTGTTGCTTGAGGTACCGCAGCCTCTCCTTTTGAACGTGCAGCGCGCGCCCGATTTTTGACTCCAGGTTCTGCTTAGGCATACCCTCCCGCACCAATGGTGCAGCGGGACCTGTTCCGCTTCTTCGGCCAAAGCTACGTTTCAATGGACCGGGGTTTGCGTGTTGCGAGGGGCCTGGACCCAGTTGGGCTTTGCTTTGGGACTGACCCACATCATTGGCTCACCCCAGTTTTCCATGAACTCTTAATGTCCTTCGTCCACGCGGCTGATGCAACGCGTGTTTGCTGCTCTTGTCCAAGCCAGCGCCGGCTGCGCAGAAGCAAAGCAAAACTCCCTGCGCAAGATTCAGACCAGCACTTGACGACAGCGTGAGTTGGGCCAACCCGCTGTTGAAACGCGCTTAGACACCCATTCTTCAAGTATTATATCCTCTGTTCCCCTTTCAAGGATTACCAGGATCTGGTTTGTGTGAACCTATCTGTCCCAACCCCGACAGCCAAGGAGAGCGAATCTAGAACTTGGAAATTGCGGGAGGCGATGGATGGCCAAGTGCCCACATGATGTGAGCCATGTGGTGCATTCCAGCAAATTGTCTCATGGTGTCTCCTTGCCATAGATGGGTGCACTGGCACATATCCACCCTTTTTGATTGCGCGGGTTTGGGGCAGACCATGCCCTTCCACACACTATAAATTCTGGCCGAGGACAATCTTCCAGGCCCCCCCCCCCGGCTCCATGTTGGTTGGTGAGAGGTTTGCCTTTGTCACGTTTCTCACGGAGAGGCGATGTCGGATGGCTTCGTCACAGTGGGGCAGTGCATCGAGGGCCTGCCAATTGGCATCTTCGCCTCTTGGCATTGGCGTGGGTGGTGTTAAGTTGTAGTAAGGAACAGCCTCAAAGTGTTGTTTGATGCAAACCCCGGGTTTAGTTTGAGCTGGGCAGAACTGGCCAGATTCACTCCTTCAATCTTGTCATGGAGCCCAAGAGCAGCCTCTGTTGGGACAGGGCAAATTGGTTGCCAAATTGTTGGTTCGGATTGGTCCATGGAACTTGGGGTTCAGGTGCTTGGGACAGGTTGGGCAAAACTGGCTCAATCCAAGAGACCCCAGTGTCTTGGGAAACCCAAAGGGGGCTATTTGAACAAACATGATGCTGAAGCAGTGCGTCGGCCCCAACCCTGTGCAAGCCCTTTGCAGGGTTCAATTGGGCTTGTGAGTGGGTAAGGAAAACATCTTAAAGTCCTCAAAACATGTTCTGCTGTCGTGGCTCGATAAGCGAAGCAGCTGCAGTAGAAGCAAGGAAACAGCAACAGGCAATACATCTACAGTCGGTTAGATTTCTGGTCACGATCCAACACGGTGTTGTTTTGTTTTTACCCCACCAGAGGGGTCGACCTCCCGAAGGATGGTAAACTGACACCTGAATTTCCTCCGAACAAGTGCCCTTCAACAAGGCAGCCCTGTTCCAACATGTGAATCCTTACCTATTGAAAGCAACGCCCAGCTGAATGAGTGTTACCACCAGAACACGTTACAATGGGCTATGCCACACGCAAGGATGATGCTTATTCATTGTTGCCATTTGGACTTGTGTCATAGTAGGGGAACCCCTTCAACAACTGATGTATGCTGATGTCGTCTTGGTTTCCAGTTAAAAAAGAACAAACACAATCGAACCCCGTCAGTGGCTGATGTATGCTGACGTCCTTTTGGTTTCTATTCCCCCCCCCAAAAAAAAAATCCACCGCCGGATTTGCTTGCCAGGTCTGGGAGATGCTGCTCTGCGCTTTCATGGGAATCTTTTGGCTCGGCGCGCTGAATGAGCCTGACCCCGAGTCCCCCCCGATTTTCTCCCTAGGGGCAATGCGGGCTGGGCGACGTGTGGCAACCCCCCAAATGATTGGCTTCTCTTTGATTTCCCCGGACAGCTGCACAGAAGATATTTTCCAAGAAAGGCGCACCTGCCTTCTTTTGCAGCTGTTCATGATGGTGTATTGGTGAGTGTCGAGACGCCAAGAGTTGCCAGAGAGGGCGACTTGTGATGACTTGTGCTGCAAGCTTTTTGAAGGCCGACGCCTTTTGCGCTGGGGATCATTTCGACTGCGGCTTGGGTGCATCATGGTTTGCCGTGCCATTTTGTCTGCCCCTATGGAGGCACATAGAGGTTCCGAAAAGCTATGGAAACGCGATATTTGGCGGGCCGCTGATCAGGAAGTGTCATGTGCAGCTTCAGTTTATCTTGGTTTGCTTGTCACATTTTACGTTTGGGGAATGGACGGGGGGTGCCTGCGCGCCTCCGAGGATTGGGCATACAGTGAACTGACGGTCAACGCCGTACTGGCCGCCATGAGCGTCGGCAACGCGGTCTCCCTGGTGCTTGCCGGATGGCTGGCAGAACCCTGGCTGGCCGTTCGCCCATGCATCTTTCAGCTGGCTGTCACTAAGGATAGGTACGGGCGCGCGAGGATGATTCGGCATCAACTCTTTGCGACAATGGCCGTGGCCGTCTTCATCCAGGGCGAGAAAACCTTCAGACAGACACTCTGGTCTCGCTTTCTTTTAGGCAGGGGCGGAAGCAGGGAGGTAAGATTGATATAGCAAACAGTGAGTAAGATGGGCTCGAATCTGAATCTTCTTGGGAGGGTGCGGAGCGTTCCGCCCTGAATCGGGCTTCACGCGTTCCAAAGTAGGCCACAGAACGATCCAGACCTGCTTCGAAACTAAGCAGAGGTTTTGTTGAGGACCAAGGGTGGTGAGCTAAGCATGATGGGGGGCTCATGATTATGGGCAAGCCCTCCACGAGGAACGTGGCTGAATGAAAATCCCAAAGAAGCTCCAGTTCTTCCAAATCGTTTCTTCCAGGGTACTGATACTGGCCTGAGGGAAGTTTTGGATCAGGCGTTTCTTCCGGCGGCCTGCTTGCAGCCATCATTCCCCTGGTCTCTGAGATGCTGCCGGCACGAAATCGGGGCTTCTACCTCACGGTCTGGTGCTGTGGCAGGACGGGCGGCAAACGAACGCCGAGAAAACACCGGGTGTAACTGGAGGGGTCCCAAAATTGCTTTTGGGGGTGTTTTCCCTTCCGACCGTCATTCAGAGATTCATTTTATTTTGAGGATGTCAGTTTTAAATGGACCCGGGAAGGCGAACTGCGGACGTAACGCATGCAGCCACCGACCCAAGGGGTCCATGCGTAAGCGTGCGTAATCTACACGTAGTTACGTGGCCTTTCTGGGGAAGACCAGATAAATGGAGTTTGGGAGACCGACTTGTGAGTCTTGTTCCTGAGAAAAGCAGTCCAACTGCCTTTTCTAGAGCCTGCAAAGACTCACATATTGTGCAAGTCTATCTTGTTCTTGGTGGACAACGTGACATTGTGTACCTTCAGCTCCTCTTCATAGGGAGCCTTGGGTCCGAAGCTGCAGTGTATGTAGGTTTCAACGGACTAGATGTTGCTGGTCCAGCATGCAAGGCCAGCAGGCGCGCTCTTTGCAGTGATTGTTGGCTGCATCCTGCCGCACTTGGAATGGACAAGCTCCTTGGCCCACTCGAGGTTTGCCATTGGCTGCGTTTGACTTGCTTTGAGCAGAGTTCGTCGTGCAGCACGGGCTTGTCATTCGGCCCCCATCGGCTTGCGCAATCCGATAACGAGGAAAGTTGGTTTCTGCATGGAATGTTTGGTTGCCCAGCTTGACAAGGATGAGGCTCAGGTGGCGATGGGCCGGCATCATCAACCTCCGTTGGGATTTAACTTCGGGGGGGGGGAGGGAGAGCTTGAAAGATAATGCACACTTTCTGATTGCGGCAGATGGAATGGCATGCAGGCTGGAAACAAAAACAAACGAAGCCAAATGCTTCAGACAGTCCAGCGGCATCAAAGCAATGAGGCTTTGTTTTGATGATGATGGTCCCGGCGGTGATCCTTTATGTTTTATGCAGACTTGATGTGATGCCGGAGTCCCCGCGCTTCTTGTACTTGGTCGGCGAGAGGGAGGAAGGCTTCTACACCTTGTTGGAGATCTATGATAAGGCCTGCGCCTTACATCAGTGCGAAACGTGATCGGCAGCCGACGAAACGAAACGCCAGATGCCTACTGTGCCAAGGAGATGATGTGCCTTCCTTGGGGTCCAGAGTCCGTGTCGCTTACCACGTCGTCGGAAGACTTGAGCGACACGAAAGCCGGCATGGAGACTTTGCCGCGGTCCGATGCTGCAGTTACCGCACCCCGGCATGAAATTGAACAAAAATGAACGCAAGGTGTGCCATGAGCGCAGTTGCGACTGTGGCAGGCTTTGCTTTGTCTCACGGTTTTCTTCGCCGACTGCGCGTCGCAGTGCATGAAGGCCAGGATGCGCCGCTTTCCAGGATTAAAACACACACCACACCTAATCCTTTGGTCCAGCGCGTGCGTCTGTACTCGGCGGATTGCGATTCATTGAAGCTCAATTTGCGAAAATATATCGGCCTGTCTTCTTTTGGGAGTACTCCTCCGGTGCTTCAGAAGGAAGTCCCACCATGAGGGGCCCCGGTTTCACCCGTGAAGGCCACGGGTTGTTCGACGGAAGGGCCAAGGCGCTGCAAACAGTTTGGGGCCCACGTGGTTTTTGTTCGCTCGCTGACGCACTGTTTGAGCATCTGAACCAGCAGGTTTAAGCGTCCTTCTCCCTCAGTATCACCCCCCAAAAAAAATATATAAGCATTTGTGTGCCCCTGCTATTTAGTCATCCTTCTTTTGGTCTCCAAAGTTGCCCAGGAGTATGGTTGCTTAAACGATTTTGTGTCGACCTGGTTGCTTTGCAGGGGGTGGGACAATGCCAACCGCTATGTTTGCCAACCGTTGTTGACATCGGCAGGCCTGGGTTCCGTTGACCAACATGGGCGCACAGCCGAATCCGCTGGCTCTTATTGCTTTCCCCTTCCTGCAGGCAGGGAAGTTTCGTGTGGCCATGCACGCGTACGGGTCTGGAATTTGTTTGATTGGATTCTTTGGTGGACATCATTCTTCTGCATGGGGGCATGGTTTTCTTTTGGGGGGCGCTCCCCTCATGCTTTTGGAAAAAGGAGCGTGGAGAAAAACATATAAACACCCATGTCTGAGAGGCCCCTCAGAACTAAACAACAATATATGATAACAGCCGTTCACCCAATGCACAACTATTCCAGAAAAGGGGGGCAGAAGGACCCTCGTTAGGCGTTACACCGCTTAGTGGGAGAAACGCGGGCACCCTTGAGCCGATGTGCGATCAAACGCAAGATTGTCGTAGGCCAGAGTTGTTTTTTCCCCGGACAAGGGCAACACAGGACCTAAATGGGCAAGCAACCCATTGCACTGGCTCAGCTTCAGCAGCACTGAGTCAGAGAAAGGGTTCAAGGAGTTCCAGTTTGCCACAAGTCAACGGCGGGCGCGTGGTTGGCAGGTTAGGAAGCGGCGTATGTGGGTGGCCAGCGTGCGGCCTTCTTTACTACTCCAATGGGGGGCGGTGTCGCCTCTGTTTGCAGACCTAGAGATTCGTTGCGGCAGAAATTTATGCCGCAAATCAAAAAAGGCGCCTTTTTGGATTTGCGGCATTTCTTCTTGATTTGCAGCGTTTTTTTAGAACTGCGGCAGAACTTGTTTTCAGTTTTTTCTACCCCCCGATTTGCGGCGGAAATCGGCGGGAATGCGGCGGAAATCGGCGGGAATGCGGCGGAAATTCCCGGAAAGCAAACGGTGTTGCGGCGTTTTTGTTTTGGTTGCGGCGTTTTTGTTTGTTTGCGGCTGATTTTCTGGAATGCGGCGGGAATTTCCGCCGCAATGCATTGCGGCAGATGTTAGCGAATGGGAGGGCACCCAATGCGTCGTGTGACGCATGGTCTTTGCCAGGTGAACTCGCAGCAGGGTCTGGCTTTGCTTCAGGGCACGCCAGACCGGCATCAAGTGATGATTGTAGCTCAGGGCTACATGTTCCTTGCCATCGATTTCTTGGCATTTCCAAAATGCGAGTTGTGAAAACTGGCGGGTCTCTTTGTGGTTTCTCTTCATTGCGGTCTGTCATGTCTGTCTCAAGACACGGGGCCGCCCTGTGGAGGGTGTGCAAGGGAAATCCAAGAAGCAGGAAATTCAATAGAAGCCAACCCCCTGGAGGGGTCCTGTGATAGAATAATTGCCATTTGTTTTCATAGCGGCAAGGGGCAAAGGGGCAGTGACCAAGCTCTGGCCTTTCGGAAGCCAAGGCTTGAGATTTGTGGCGTGATATTCTGTGCTGCCATATCCACCGCAACTTGGCAACTGACCCAGCAGGCAGTTACAAGCATGGGAAGGTGGAGTGCGGAGAGAGAGAGAGAGGGAGAGAATAATGTCGGTAGAATCAGTGCGGATGCGAGGGATAATTAGGATGTCAAAGGGGCAACTGAGGCAGGCCTAACAATTGTGAGAATTGCTTGTTGCTTCAGGCGGCAGGCGCATCGTGGTGGAGTTGGTACTTGATCAGAAGCCTTTCTTTTAAAGGTGCAGTGGCAAGGTTGCATCCTGAAAACTGAACAAGGACATCGCATGGCAGAAAACCGTGCAGCGCACAATTCCCAAGGCAATGGATCTAAAGAGGATTTAGCCCGAGTGCCAGTTTTGCATGTATATGTTCGCCATACCCGTGTGTTTAATGCTGGGCCGTTTTTGATGATATTTGTGAACATGGTTTTCCTGGCGGACCCCCTGAAAGCATAAGGCAAGTGTACACCCAGAGGGAAAAGAACACTTTTCCAAGGATTTGCTGTATGCTTGCCCATTTCAGTCGCAGTCTCTTGCTCATCAAGAGACCGGCTGCCGGGCCCCGCAAAAGGGCAGCAGTTCACCAAAACGGTTTGGCCAGGTTTTGTAAGTACGACCAAAACCTGAAGCACCCAACGCGCTGTTTTTTAGGTACGAGAAAAAAACGCTCGAATTACCTCTTCCTGCTCGACCCCCGAAAAAACGCTTGCCCCTCCCCCCCGAAACGCTGTAGCAAATCCCCTTCTTCCATCCGGAGGAAGGCGAGCAAGTGGTACTTTTTTTGTTCGCGCTCGTTTGCGGATATTTGCGCTCGAGTTGCACTTGGATTTCTGCTCGCTCCTTTCAGCAACCGATCATCCTGAAGGACCCGGTCAGCCTGGTTTTGGGAACAACGCTGGAAGCAGGGAACAGTGTAGGCTTACCATATTTTGGTAACGACCCTGGGTTTTGCAATTCGTTTGAGCTAAGGGCAGAAATTTAGGTAACGAAGAGGGACGGTCTGAAAATGTCCAAACGGCCCGAAAACTGACTGGGACCAAACTGAGAGGGCTACCCGAGTTGACTTACAAGCCAACGAAAGCATGTTGCAGAAAAAACAACTCGCGGATTTGCCCCTCACATGGTAAAAGCTTTTCCAAAAGGGACCATACCGACCATACTGTACGCCCACTACAATTTCAAGGGAATAAGCGCAACGACTCGCACGTGAAGAGCGCCTCTCTTCCTGAGATGCATTTGCTTCCCGCACTTGGGCATGCGCAGAGGGCATCAGACGCAAAGACGTCCAGGCTTACTCAAGGGCGTAGAACTCTGAGTAGTCAGCACGTTCGCTGTTCTCTCTGTGGACAAGCTATGGAAGAATAGCAACCCAAAGGCTGCTTTTCAAGACTGTACGTATGCACATCCTCAAGGTCGGCGGTGCCCTGCAGCGTATTGCTTAGCAGGCACATTTCAGCAAGCTACAAAACAGAGGTTGCAACTCTAAACCCGCCTGGCACTCCCCGGTGGAAATGCCAAAGCAACAAGAGACCGAGATTCAGTTTACTCTACAAGATCAATAGTGGCGAAGAGACTGCCAAGTCAAGTAACATTGCTGGGCAGCCAACCCGACTCAAAGGCATGGACAAGAAGCAGGAAGCTATGCCAGTGAAATTCATGCGTGACCATGAAGACTTTCGGCAGTATGTGTCCATGGGCCCTCAACTGAATCTCGATCCAGGGGATGTCGCACTGCCTCATTCCCAGACACCATCAGACACCCCAATGAGACCTGTGTGGAGTACATCAGCACAAGGAAGCACACGCACGTCCAGCATGCAAGCAATGAAAACCCAGCCAAGCCAGACACCACTGAACCACAGTTGATCTTGCAATGATCCATCGGCTTCACTCCCAAATTCTGGACCAAGCGAAGCTCGTCTCGGTAAACTGGAATCCTCACACTAATCCCCTTGCGCATTGTGCCCAAATCAATCGTCATGATTGCAGTCAAGAGGACCTGGGACTTGGAACGACGGGTGAAGTCCCGTGTCTATCGTGCACTTCGACGGAGCCTCAATGACTTGTCAAGCTTCAGCCAAACGCTTCCCCAAGCAGAACACAATCCTAAACATCGGCGCTACGACCTACTCTAGAACTAGGCTGTAGCAGGTTAGCAATTGCAAGCTGGCAGGCATATTCGCAACAATTGCCTTGGCGCATTGTTATTTATGTGTTTTGCGTGATGCCTTTAATTTTACCGGTCAAACCTGGACACCGACACTGGCCTCGGGGGCTCTTGAAGGGTGAGGTCCAGAGAGTCTTAATAAACACCAGGCCAGATGAAGGTTAGCAGGGGGACAGCTTTAGGCACATCATTAGACTGGCGCGGCCACCCTGTTTGACCCCTTGCGTTGTACATGGTTTTGGGTTGTCAGCCATTTGGGTAGTTTTTAAAGTGAGTTTCCCTCAGTCGGGACTTGCGAATCCCGGTTGTTTAGTGGCACCCTGATTCCCTTTTTGTTTGGGTTTCCCGCTGCAAATATTCAACCCAAAAAATTAACAACGGTCCCCCTTTTCCGGGTCACTGGGAGGGAATGCTCAACAACCTGACACCAGGTGCTCAGCCGTCGCTGGCTCATCCGAATTGCCCTCTTCCTGGCTGCGTGCTTGAGCTTTGCGTCCGTCTTCGCCGAGAGGCATAGCCTGCCACTCGACAAATGGCTCTCAATGGGTGAATCTGAATACAATTCCCACCCAGGTAGTTTTTTTGGGTTTGCTTCCTTTACTTGCCGACATGATGCCATCTACTTTCACCCTGGTGTACGTAGTGGTTGGAGCGCCCTCTGACCCCTTTAAAGCCAGTAAGAAGAACAACCCAGACCAAAAACACACACATGCCATCCCGAAACAAAGCACTCGAATGAGGATACCTCAATCAATTGGTGGCGGTTGCCTAAATCCCAACATAAGTAATTTCTACCTCAGTGTCCCACTCAAAAAACATGATAAAATGGCAAAGCCGCCGCAATCCGCGCTCGTAGCCCGTATGTGAGTTGCCTTGGCTGGGAAAATTAGATGTCCATTTCACACAGTGCGGCAGGCAGTTTCAATGGTTTGTCGCGCGACGCCAGGCGGCATTTTTCACAACAGCACACTCGAGCCTCAAGTTGTGGGCGGCCCTTTCAACAGGCTTGCGCCTACAGCACTGACGTAATCGAGGTGGGGTTGTCTCTACACAGGGGACGCCTCAAAAAACGTGCAGTGGTTCCTTTCAAGGAAGCCAATCGCACAGAGGGCACCCTCAGAAACACGACGCACCCAGGTGGTTCACTGCCGGGCCACTCTACGGTGCGGCACTTGTTGCTCAATCTGCTGCCTTCAACTTCCTCCTGGCCAGCGCCTGAGACATCAGATGTGCCAGGGTCAGACGCCTCTGCTTGGGTAGGGGTGGTCATGGGTTCCCTAGTGAGGAGTTTAGGCCACCAAATGTCAGAGTTCGTGACATGGCTCACATAAGGAGTTTTGCCCATGGCACAAGTGGCAAGCAGACGCACATGGCACCTTTTGCTTGGCGCCGGCATCGAGGTTTATACCTGCGAGAAGTTCCCCACCGCGACCAGGCCCAGCAACATGCAGAACGCATAGCAACTTCTGCAGCTAAGATTGGCACAAGGCACCTGCCAGGCATTTGTAGGGCACAGACCGACATCAAAAAAAAGGTCCCCCTCACTCAGGTTCCATGCTAAGGGGAGGGTAGTTGTGCCAAGCAGCATGGGAGTTGCGGCCCGCACGCAGGGCCAGTGCAGTTGGGCTTGTGCTCTTTTTTGGACAGGCCCGGGCCTGAACACTTGCAGGGAAATTCAGAACCGGGAGATGCTTCTCAATAGTTCTACCAAGTATCCAGCATAAACAAAGGTTGATCAATGGGGGAGGTGGGCCATGTCGAAGCGGTCGGACCACCCTAACCCTCTGCCAGTCTGACAATCGTGGGGCAACGTTCCCACTTCTGGGTTTTGCTTGAGGTTGCCAAATTGTTCATGCCGGCCATGGGCATCCTTCTTTTGCGCCTTCGATTGAATAGTGGTCTGCTTGAGCATGTTGGCAGCGTTTGGCAGACGGGCTGCTGTACTCCTGGCAGTTCCCATGCAGCAGCCAGCTTTGTAAGGAGACGAATGTCGGAGTTTGCCGTGGTGCTCACATTCAACAGCCTGCACCTCCCAGCTGTTCAGCGTTTGCGCCCCTTTTCATTTTTCCTTTGTGCTTGGAAGTTCAGTAAAAATGGTCATCCCCGGACAGACTTGCTCCATTTTGTCTACCAAAGTCTGGTTGGGAGGCGAAACGCATGCTACCCACATACACTTGGAATTGGGTGAGAGGGAATCACGACCGGAAACGGGGAGAGAGGGCACCTCAGCCTCACCCCGCTTCAGATAGAGGCCATTGATCAAGAGAGGCGAGTCCTTCGAGTCGAGACCTTGAGCTGCAGCCAAGGTATCTCATTGCCTGCGCATTGGCCTTTCAGCTCCCTTTGCCAGCTTATCGCGAGCGATCGCTCCATGATATTGACGAAAAGGGAGGCAGAGACTCACAGAGAACACGAAAGCGGCTTGGAGTGACCTACCAGACGGTCTAGATTGCACTGCCTGCCCGGACATGAATCACAGGACAAAAGGTGCTGCTGCACTCTGCGTTAGCTCAAGTTCCCGAGTTGTCGGGCCTTGCGCAGATTCACGAAAGAACTTGTGCGAAGGTCGCGGCAGGCTGGCAGCCGTTTGAGCTCATGGATTAGGTGCCAACCCTGAGGTGGGAAGTGTTCGTACTTCAGCCCGCGAATGCAAGGAGCAACATGTAAGAGCCCCTTTGGTCGCTTTAGTTGGGACTCTGGACATGCTGGGTTTTAGGAAAAGGGCTGAGATGTTGACCAAGAAACTTCAAGGCTTTTAGCTTTTTAGGTCCGCCATGGACAACCCTGAGACATTCAAGTTGCTCGAGGCGCGGTGATCACTTAATCTCATGCCTCCCTTTTTCCACCAGGGTCGCTGATCATATTTCTACGTTTGTGGCTTCTAAGTGGCAGTTTCACATTTGTATCACCCGGACTCCAGGCTTTGGATGGACCAACCCATCAGCCAGGCACCCGAAAAGGAGGCGCAGCTTTTCGGGGTGCACTTGCAGCAGGATGGTGGGCCAGGCGCCCAGGCGGAGTTTGCAGCTTACATCTGGATATGCAGAGCCAAACTCCCCAAATGCGCGGGGTAAATCACGTGAATTGTTTCTGCCCCGGAAGAAAGCCGGATTCGTCGGAGTCTTGTGGGAGCCTCTCCAAGTTTCACTGCGGGGTGCCACTCTAAACTCAGGGGCCCTGACTGGCCTTGAATCCAGTCTGGACTCCTTGGGGCGGGCCAAGGCCCTGGCAATGATGTGCATTCCGATGGGTGGCCCTCCTTGTGCCACTGAAGATTTCAGTTGCGAGCCTTGAACTTCAGAATATCCTGCCTTTAACATGGCACCTGACAAGAGGTTTTGCCAAGAGGTCTAACCTGGATCTTGACCCGGTCCTTTTGGTTCCCTGTACAAGTCTGTGCATGTGATGCACCCGGATGTCCAGGAGGCAGCAAGCGTCAGCATTTTCCCAGAGCTCCCCTTTTTCAATTTTATCAAGTACCATCAAAGACAGCCGTTTGGCTTATGGCCATTGGCTTTCCCAGGTGAAGTTGACGACCAAAAGGTCCTGGACCAGCCAGAGGTCCTTTGGAAGGTGGGGGGGAGTCCCTGTTGCCGAAGCTATGGTACTCGTTTCACCTCAAACCCGGCTTTTTGTCTTCCAAGTTGCCTTTTGCCTTCTCGGCGGGGCCGGGCTCCATGGGATTGACCGACATGACCTCACTCGCAGTCAGGCGATTTTCCGAGGCAACGTGGAGGTGCCAAAAGATTTTGCGGGAGGCATTACAAAGAAGGACCGGGTTGTGTTGTGTTGTGTGTTGGCACCAGCTCTACAACGTGTTAGGTCAACTGAGGGGGGGGGGTGCCGCGCTTCGAATGACGGCTTTTGTCAAGCGATAGCCATCCACTTCAAGCGACTTCGCATGCCTAGATAGGGGCCTCGACATTCCATTTCCAACAAGCACCCCCCATCCCCATGATGTAGGCCAAATGCCCCTTTCGCCGAGGGGAGAAAGGCAGGGCGCTAACATACTTGGAGATGCAGGCGGGAAGCTGAAGTGTTCGAGGTTTCTGCCTGTTGATCAGTGTCCATGGGCAAAGGCGGCCTCAGGAAAGTGTGGACTCACGTCCCATCTGAAGCAAAACCTGCCGGCGAAAAGCCGAAATCCATCAGCTGCACTTTCGACCACGGCTTCGTCTTGCTTTGCCTTGAAAAGTCTGGAGGCCCTTGTTCCGGAGTATTCAGAAAGCGAGCAGATCGGGGACTACATGCAGATTGTGGTCAACTTTGGATTCGTGGCGATGCCTGGGGCCCAAGCAGTACATGTGTTGCTTGGCACGCCTCGCTTAGTTGAGGTTTGGCGCCACGTGTCCCTCCGTAACGGCGCTTTGCTTTTTGTCCAGCTTGCCCATCAAGCAGCTCCTCGCGTACAAGTACAGCTTCGCACGCAAGCGCGCGATCCCCCGAGGAGCAGAAGGAATTGGATCCTGGAATTCTATTTTGAGATTCGTGGCTTATGCTGGAGTTACTTGCACATGCTACATTGCGACTCGATCAAAGAAGCAAAGGTGTTTTGGAGCAGTTGCATGTGTGTGTGTGTGCGCGCGTGTGAACTGGACCGTTTGAGGTGGTGTTTGTCTACAACATCGAAGCTGCAGATACGATGAGATGCACATTCCTTTGCTTCGTCATTTCCGAACATGCAGCCTGGCCAGCCAAACAACTCCACCACCTGGTGTCATGTTAGAAGCGGGCCCGCGAACTAAAGGTACCGGACTGGCGCTTTGCTGCAACTACTGGGCACGCACTAAAGAGCAAATGCTCAGCCACACCAGCCCAATGACAAGTGCGCCGACACAAGGGCACACCATCAGCGCTGCACACATGCCTGCCAAATGATTAATAAACGCGCTCAAGAGCACATGCTCTGCGCTGCGCACTTGCTTGCCGCATGATGGCGCAACCGCTCAAGAGCGAACGCTCTGTGCGCACATGCCTGCCTGCTGAGAAGCACGTCCGCCCAAGGGCACATGGTCAACGCTGTACCTTTGCCTGTCAAATGGTATGTGCGCCCGCTCAAGGGCACACGCTCTGCTCTGCGCACAGGCATGCCACATGAGAAACGCACCCGAGCGGCCCGAGCAAATGCCCATTCTCAGCACTACGCTGCTAAACGGTCAGCGTGCTGGCTGACGATCATACGCGCAGCATTGCACAAATGCCTGCCAAATGGTAAGGGCGCCGGCTCAAAGGCGCACGCTCAGCGCTGCACACATGCCTATAATTATATAAGAAGTGTGCCCGCTTAAGCCACATGATACGCGCACCCGCTCAAGAGGCTGCGCGCACGCTTGCCGAGCGGAATTAGAGAGCTAGAAATCCCCTGGTTCGACAATGAACAAATTGCCTTCAGGGGTCGTGGTCCAAAATCCGGACTTGACGGCAAACCACGGTGCTTAGGTCCTGATGTTGCTGAAGCTGGCCATTGGGAAGTTCATCGGGTCCAAGACCTTTTCGCAGCTGCGCGCGGAAGAAATGAGCGAGGCAGGGGAGAGACATGGAGCCCACCGCGCTAGGGTCGCTTTATCCTTGCTTTTTTGGGCTGCTTTAAGGGGGAGCCTAACCCTTCGAGCTTGCATGAAAAATGGCTCAAAATGAGCGCCGACCTCCCAGCTCAGTAGAAAACAGCGATTCAAAGGACCATCCTGCTGGCTTTCACACACACCATAGATATACTATATGCATGGGTATATGTACCTCTCGGACTACAGGCCCCGTGTTCCCAATGCTCATGGCAGTGGTCCTGTCTGTGGCTGGGTGGTGGTGGTTCAGAATCCGAACAGAGACAGCCTATGGCGCGTAAGGGAGAGAAATTATTGTTGCAGCTTTCCATTCCCTCCTCCCATCACCAATTCTCTCCTCCATGACGTAGAACTGAGTGATCCGCAAGAAGCAAGAGGCGAGATGAAGAGAGGAGAATTAGAACCATGTTTTTCATTCTCCATTCCATGCTGTGTGAGAAAGACACAAGCTTCCTTTTCTTCCTTCCCTCTATGTCTAAGACGCCTGACCGAAGGAACAGAGGATAAAGAAAAAGTGCATGACATCAAGTATGAATTTCGACCACTTTCTTTTTCTGTATTTAGAGGCTAGGATTGTCTATATTTCATGTAATTTTGTTTCTCTCTTTATTTGCCTTCATCCAGTTCCAGCCAATTTACGGTGTATTAAGAGTCGGTTTAGGGTTGGTTTAGAGTTGGTGTAGGGTGGGTTGGGCTTGGTGTTGGCTTGGGGGCTAGTTGGTTGGTTTAGGCTTGGTTTGGGGTTGTCGTAGGGTGGCTTTTTGTCGTAGGGTGGCTTTTGGCTTTGTTTAAGCTTGGTTTAGTGTTGGTTTGCAGTTGGTTCATTGTGGGTTTGTTTAGGTTCGGTTTAGGCTTGGTTTGGGGTTGATGCCCATCTTGATTTAAGGGTGCTATATGATGTAAGGACTTGCTTTCCGCTGGCTGTTTTGTTTGCCACCGCCACCTGCAAGCAAGCAAGCAAGCAAGCAAGCACTCTAAACCCCACTAAATGCATGTTTTGCCTTAAACCCCGCGCTAAGCCTCGCCTAAGCCCACCCTAAAAAACCCTCCCCCGCCCCAAATAAAATAAGAAAAAGAAAAACAAAAACAGATAAAGAACAAACAAAGCAAAACCCTAAAGCCACCCTAAAGCAACCCTGAAACCACCCTACCCAAAGCTCGCCTAAATCATCCCTATACCCACCCCAACCCGACCCTAAACACTAATAAGTGAACCCACCGTAAACCCGCTGTATACCAAACCACCTACCCTGAACCGCCCTAATCCCACCTAAATCCACCCTAACGTGAAGGCGGAAAAGAATGCCACAATCTTGGGACAACCAATTCCAGAAAGAACTGGGCGGCCTTGATTTAGGTTCAGGCTAAGGGTCGGTGTAGGGTGGTTAGGATTGGTTCAGGCCTGGTTTTTCGGTTTGGTTTGGGGTGGTTTCTCCGGGCGAAGCCTGGGTGAGGGGGAGTTGGCTTTCGGTGCTCCAAATTTCTCTATGGCCATGAATTTAAGCAAGTAACCCGCTGAAAAGTGGTTGGTTGGCATGAAACCCCACCTAAGTGATAGTGCACCAGAGGGTCCCTCATTAAAATTCATGCCAATATGTTCAGCTTAAGTTTCGGTACTGGCCCTGGCATTCAAAGTGGTCAGAGTAGAATATATTTGTTAGAGGGAATTTACGGATTTCAGGGGCAGACTTAGTGCATGTACCATGTTATTTTCCATCCACAAGCGGAGGGCTCATGCACTGGTAAGAAAAATCCAGGCATGTGTACCTTGCTTTGCCTAAGTGTGGAAAAAAACGTTCGCTGTGCTACCATAACACTTACCCGCATCGACTGTAGTTCTATCAACGTTGAGCGATTTCTCTCCAAGTCCCGTCTTTTGCTCTCAAGGTGGACTCTATTGTTTTACATGCAATGGTTATCTCCACCGCTTGGTATGTCTTCTTAGTCAATGTTCGTGGCAAAATGTTTGCAGGAGTTCTCTCCCGATGATGGCCATCTCTCGTAAGGTATGTTCATTAGTGGGCTCTTTAGCATTTTGCAGCAATTGGTTTGTTCCAAAATGCTAGCCTGCTATTGAGACATGGTCTTATCATGTCTTATCAAATGTTGCAGGGTGTTGGCTAGATCCTAGCTTTTGATCACACATTGGCCCGAGCAAATTGCTCGCGGCATTTGTTCTGTACAGTCTAGCCTACTTTTGCATAATTACTTTTCGCACACCTGCAGGCAAATCCTAGTTTTGCCGACGTACATGTACTCCATCATTTTAGAGGTAACCGTTGGCTGCTGCTTCGTAGGATCCAATCCTGGCAACGTAGTAGGATTTTTTCTAACACCGGGCTTTACTTTTTAGAGCATACTCTCGGCATAGCGCAATCCAAAATCATGCCTGCCCAAACCATGTTTGCTCAAAGCTGTGTCAGAACTGTCTACAGGGGATATAGCTATGTACATATACATATTTATGTATGTGCGGCCTTCTGATGTACGAAAAGTCATGTAGTCTCGCTAGGTGCTCGACCCTGTCCTCCATTTCCAAGGAGAAGTGAAGGATGCACGATGCACTGGGGGAGCTTGAGTTTGCCATCGCTCCGATGGCAATTCCATGGCGAAAGCTCACAAGGCAGCCAGCCCTTAGCCGCGGCAATTTGATTTTGTTCGCGTCACGATCGGCGTGCAAGGCGTTGATACTGCTGTGGTGCCCACGGTTCACTTGGCTTTGGACTGAAGGCAGCACAAAGGAACATCTTCTCGAATTATCCCTGGCTGCTCGCTGTCAATAGCTCGGGTCAACTGCTTTTCAACTTTTCGAAGTGACCTGGATGCTTTCAGTCAAAGACTAGAGCATTTATTCTGTGGCGCGGCCAACAGAGATCACACCCTAGCTCGGCCGCAGCCAGCAGAAAACTGTCGCAGAGGGAGGTATATCATGCGTGTTGAAAATTCCGTGTGTAGAACATGAAGGAACATCAGTGAAAGTCGGTGTGTGTCCAATGATTGCGGGGCTGGGCTTGACCTCGGACAGAGCACCAAGTTACTAAACAATTATATACTGTTGTTCTATGGCAAATGCAGAGGATTTTTGTAAGACTGCCCGTCTCCCCCACGAAGACCATGGAAGGCCCATGCGCCCCATTTTAGTATGTGGGATGCAAATGGCATTGCGGCTCGCATGCAAGTGGATCAGCGTGCTCATGGTGCTCCAAATGGCACACCAGGAAGCGAGCTAAAGCCATGGCAGGCGCGGCGCAGTCTGTGGCAGCTGATGGCCTTGCATGGCCCCGCAACAAAGATGTGCCCTGGACAGACCATAGGCGTCCCAAGTGGCCTACTGCTGACAACAGATGGAGAAAAAACATCATGTTGATTGCCCTGAAAGCCATACCCTTGTGTGTGAAAGGTCGGCGCTGCTTGCTTGGTACCTTGGTTCTTGGTTCACCTTTCAGATTCGGGTCTGCTTCTTTTCGGAGAGTCACTGTTGTGGTTTTCAAAGGCGACCCAAAAGGAAACTGACAATGTCGTGAGCTCCCAAATTTTGAGAGGCAATTGTTTGGGGGAATGATCTTTGTTTTCTTTCAGCGTCTTGTTTTCGCCTGGAAAGTTGCTTCTTTTTGTTGCTTTCCGTGACCTCGATGTCCCGACCTTTGGCTAACTTTGAACACGACATTCCACCAACCCCCAGACCAACCCCTTGGGCCCCACAAACCCACCCGAAACCCATGCATAAACCCATCCCTAAACCCGACCCAAACCCGCACCACGCAAACCCAAAATCCACCTTAAGCCCACCCAATCAAACTGACCGCAAACGAATCCTGCCCCACAGCGACCCAAACCAGGCACTTAGCCCACCCTAAGCCCGTCCCACTCTTACCATCCCCCAACGCCTTACCCCCATCCACAACCCTAAGCCAACCCTGAACCCATCCCAACCCACCTGCAAGCCCATGCAAATCCATAAGCCACCCTAAACCCACCTGAAACCCACCCAAAACCCTAAGCCAGCCCTCCACCCACTCGCCCGACCCACACCTCAACACATCCACCACAAGCCAACTACAAACGACCCTAGCCCACCCCAAGCAATCCCAACACCATGCCTGAACTCACCCCACGTCTAAACCCGCCTTAAAGAGCCAACCCTGGACCCACTCGAAACCAACACTGGATAATTTCCCAAACACCCGAAGCCCACCGCAATGCCACCATAAACCAACCAACACTTGGGGCACCTTCACCAACCCTACCCCAACCCATGATTTTCAAAACCAACCCTCAATCAGCTCATTCCCAATCCGCTTGAAATCGATCCTACCCCCTCAAACCATTCCAATCCGACTTTAAACCCGCCTGCCTGCTGCTGATGCTGATGCCGGCATGTTGGCCTTCCAGCAAAAAAGGCAAACAAATTCCAAATTGATTGCGCGCCCACTGCAAGACAAGCCCATGTCACGATTCCATGTGAGTGCTAGCTGTTCGGTCGCGCTGAGGAGTTGAAATTCGACAAACCGCTTGGCCGCGGATACTTCGGTGAAGTATGGCCCCAAGCTCAGGCTTTTGAGAGGCCACTCGTTTCAGACGCGCAAATCGCAAGCAACGCAGCTGACCAAGCAGCGGCACGGCAAGAATCCGCTGGTGAATCTCTGGTTATGCCAAAACTGTGCGGACAGGTATTGCTGTGCAAAACGGGGTCACGATGGGAGCCTGAGGCGTTGCTACAGGTCATCACGGTCTTCATCATCCGTTGTGTGGGCAGCAACTTGGCCTGTACAGACTGTTCCAGACAGGAATCGCTCCATGACTTTGAAAACAGTGCTGGTGTAGAGGTGCACATTGAGCGTGCTCCATGTTCGTTAGTAACGGAACGGGCTCTGGCTGCTCATCGCATAGCCTTGCAGGTAAAAAAGATTCCGCGCTCACTCATTGAGCCCCCTGGCTGCACTTGCGGGGGAATCAGTCACGCCAATTTCGATCTACCTGCATTGCATGCAGGGCTGAATGCCTGCTCTCGCTTGGAGCAAACATACCCCCAGGCAGCATAGCCTCACCGAACAGATGGAAAGAGAGCAGCTTGCCTGCAGATGTTGCATGTCGCTGCACTTGACACGGGTGAAAGGTAACCAGTTTGGGTGCAGAGATCAAGCTTCCTTAAAACCACTAGATTTGTTTACAGGTTTATTCAAGCGGGGTTCGTTGCAGTTGCCTACCCTGACACCAAAGGGTGTTTGCACCTATGGCTCGACATCTAGATTTGTTTGGGTAGGCAAGGCCAATGGCCGAACTGCAAAAAGCACAAGCACCCAAAAGCCAGACGCAGGCAAGCATGTGAAACAACGTGGTCAAATGTAAACGGCAATCGCCCAAGGAAAATCCCATCTGCCCTGGAACCTTTTCGGAACCTGCCTGGAAGCCTCCAGGATCAGCTAAGACCCAGCTGTTGTCATGAAGAAAGGCTGGAAGAATCAAGCGATGCCTGTCTTGCAACCAAGAGTCACAGCCCGGAGCATGTCAAAATTTGGTTGGTGGCAATCTTTGGCAAGGCATGCGGCATGTTTCCGGCCACCATTTATGTGTGTGACCCACGCCGGCCCTGGCGAAGGCATGTGATTACTGACGCACAGCAGCAACAGGACAAACCAAGGGCCGCGACCACAAGCAACAACAAACCATTGCTGACAAGAATGCAAGGCAGAGGCAAAAACAAGAGTTTTTGCAGCCAGACAGCAGCAGGCGAAACCACAATCTCTACAGGCACAATGAACAGCGGCGGCATGGGAGCCACAACCATGAGCGCGGCCCAAACTTATCAACGGAACAACTTAGGCCCGGCAGCTACCGACAACAGTTGACATGTGCGAAATGCGTTGAAGCCAGTCTTGTAGTTGATGACTTGTGCCTAGGGCCCCAGGGACAGCAACGCACGCCCTAAGGATAGAGATCATGAGAAGTCTGAGACATCCACATATTGTGGAGCTTCATTTCAACTTCCGCGACGACAGCCATGTCTATTTGGGTCTGGAGTTTGCTGAAGGCGGTGGCATGTTCGACCTCCTGAGCAAGCAGGGCAAGTTCTCAGCCGAGCGATCTGCTCAGCACTTCTATGAGGTCTGCGACGCCCTGGAATACCTCCACACCCAAAAGCCGCAGATCATTCATAGGCGTGGGTTAGATCAGTGTGGTGAGCAGCCCTTGTACAGTCGTACAGTTGGTACTTGCGTTGTGTGTGACGACATTCGCGCATAGCAAGAACCGCAACGGGTGAACGTATCCGAACCTGAGCTACAACGAGCAAATATAGCACACAACGCAGCCGTGTTTGGCAATCGCCTGGCGGGAAACTCTTGCAGCAATCAAGCAGTGCTTCCTCCGTCCTAACCTGAACAAAAGAAGCTTAAGAACTTCAGTGCTGGAACAAATTCATAATGGAAAAGAGGCAGAAAGCCTGGCCCTGTGCGTCAATTCTGCTCTTTCACACGCGCACCCACCACCTCGGTCGCGACACCTGACGGAGGCAAATTCGGAAGGGTCTCGGAGCGGGCTGGGAGACGGACCATTCGAAACAAGCCGCGCGTATAGGTTTGCGCGTAATTATAGGTTTGCACATGGAATGGTGGCCCTTTGACCTTCAATGTTACAACAGCGACGTTAAACTTTCGTTTATCACCGGCCATCATGATATTTGACACTGCTGGACATCGCTTCTTAACACTATCTTCAATAGGCACTAGTGCAATGTTTTCTCCGATGATGAGTTCCTTATACCGCGGAATTCCGGTGAGTCGACCACTCATTGTGTTTGTTGCTTTTCCACCTCGCTCGTGCAGCCCCTCGCGGGCTTGCTTTCGGGCGGTTGGCTTTAAGTACCTCGGTTTTGCGGTGTGTTTTCCTAGCTGCCGGGATGAGGAGAGAGAAAGAACGAAAGAAAGAAAGAAAGAACAAAGGAACAACGGAACAAAAAAACACATACAAAAGAAAGGACAATAAAACAAACAATTAAGAAAGACAGACAGAAGGAAAGAACAACAGGAAGGAAAGAAGGAAGGCAGGCAGGCAGGCAGGCAGGCAGGCAGGCAGGAAGGAAGGAAGGAAGGAGTAACAAAGAGACAGAGAGAGACATAGATAGGAAAGAGAGACAGACAGATAGATATAGAGAAGAAAGATATAGTATCTGATAGAGAGGCGACTGGGTCAAAGAAAGACAGAAAGGGACATAACGGGGAGGGAAAGAACGAAAGAAGGAACAAAAGCAAGAAATAAATAAACAAGGGAACGCGCAGAGAGAGAGAGAGAGAGAGATAGAGAGGGAGCGAGAGGGAAAGAGAAAGAGAGAGTGGGAGAGAGCAGGAGAGAGCGGGAGAGGAAGAGGGGGAGAGAGGGAGCGAGGGAGAGAGGGAGAGAGGGAGCGAGGGGGAGATGGAGAGATGGGGAGAGGGCGAGAAGAGGAGAAGGGGAGGAGAGGGAGAGGAGGGGGAGAGGGGGAGCAGAGGGGGAGAAGACGGAGAGCAGAGGGGGAGAAGACGGAGAGAAGAGGGGGAGAAGACGGGGAGAAGAGGGCGGGGAGGATAGGGGGAGAAGAAGGAGAGGAGAGGGGGAGGAGAGGAGAGGGAGGGAGGGAGGGAGGGAGGGAGGGAGGGAGGGAGAGAGGCAGATGTATTTCTTGCATGTTTGATTCTACCGCCCAAACCATCTGACAAATGCATGCTGTTGCGTTCGTGGCTGCATGTTTCCCAAATGACGTGCGGCAGGGATATCAAGCCTGAGAACATTTTGCTCGACAAAGATCAGCGAGCAAAGCTGGCTGACTTTGGGTGGTCGAACGTGCTCGAGAACGTATCGTACAGGCTGGCTTTCTGAAAGGCGTAACGTTTTCAGGGATTTGACCCGAGGATTATTTTTCTTTGCGATGCCAAACGGCAGGTTGGGTGCCAAAAGAACAGGGTCCCCAAGTTTAAGGGTGCCATTTTCCGGAGCCACATTGGGACCATGTTCAAGCACAAGACAACCACCACAGGGCCACCTTTTGCGGTACACCGGACTACTTGGCTCCAGAAATGATCCGTGGAGAAGGTCACAATGAAAGCCTGGACATGTGGGAGATGGGCGTTCTTCTGCGACTCGCCCATCAGTTCATCAGTTCACTGGGATGGGCTCCGAGGGGCTCCGATGAGGAAAGTTGTGCCACGAGCCAAGGTACGAGATGATGGTGGGAAGATCGCCCTTTGGAGGTGCCAACCAGGAAGAGACCTGCCGCAACATTCTGAGCCTTGGCAATTTTTAACCTGGCCTGACGGATGCGGGTTGCTCTTGGCACCTAGGCAGGTCAAGTTGAAATTTCCATCCGACATGGAGCCGTTGGGAGAGGACGGGATGGAAAACAGCCTGGGCTAGAGGCTGGAGGCCTAAACGCATGGGTCCCTTGAAGTGGCTTCAGGTAATTAGGAACATGTCTTGCCAAAAGTGGGCCCCTGGCGGCAAGCTTCGCATCTGAAGGACTGCATCAAGCAGCTTTGCCAGAAGAAGGCAGAGGACCGGCCTGCGGATGTGTGGACTGAGAACTTGAAAATTGGCTCGGGGAACATGGGGACACCACCCAAAAGTGAAGAATACCTACCCCGAAAATGTTCAAATATGTTTATTGATGCACCAATTGTTGGGCTGCAGCCTGTTTCCGCAGCATGCAGGACCGGCTCACGGCAGCACAGGCCAAGAGCCACAAGTTTGTGCAAAAGTACCACGCCGTGGCAGTGAAGAAGGATCGATCCGGCAGTTTACCTGAGCAAAGCTGGGTAGAAGATGTTAGGGGAGAGTCCCAGCCAGTTTTTGGGTTGCGTAGATGCGCCCGTTGATTGTTTGTAGGCGGCCGGGTTCTGATTGTGACTCACATGGGGATCCCCAAAGCCAGCAGCGCGCGATGGCCACGAATTCAACATTTGGGGTCTGACTTATTGCAACCGGTGACGCGTGCAGGAACTTCAGGAAGACAAGTCGCGGCCTTCTGTGGAGGCAGGCTGTGTAGTAAAAAATGCCCCTTCACCTGAGGGAAGTAGTATGGGGATCCCTGGAATAATGCGGTGATGGGGGTCCACATCCATCAAAGGTGCCCCTTTCTAGTTGCCATGGTTTCCCTTGGCGAGCAAATCGACAATCACGGGGTCCCTAATGATTTCCATATCTGGCGAGGTATGGGGGCAGTTCTGGCAAAATATTACAAGGGCCCTGGTTAAAGTGCAGTCTCAGCATGACTTTCCGACCTTCGATCGCTCAGCGGCTCAGGCGCGCAACCTACAGCGGAAGATCGAGTTGCATCAAAGTGAGAATCTGAACCTCCTGCAGGACAAGGTGAAGAAGGACTGAGCGAACTGGATTCTTTCTCTTTGTTTTTGCGCGTCAGTTGGGGATGCAACTCGGATCACACCAGGAAGCCGAGTTTTGGGCAGAGCAGGAGAAGCTGGAGGTGCATAGGGGCATGAAGAGCGTTTCAATTGGGGCGCGTCACCCTTTGCGTTGCAATAGGTCCTGTCAACCTTGTGGATGAACAAGGTTGGGGGGTTCCCCAAAAGTCAAGGATTACCTGTTAAATTGGGACACCCCCTGTTATTCAACCAGGGCTAGTACTTTAGGCCAGCTTTATGCTTTGCAGCTGGTTGAGGCGCGAGAGCAAGAATTGAGAAAAGAGAAGCATGAGCGGGAGAAGGCCAGGGACCTTATAGCTGCAAATCCGTGGCCGGTTCGCTCCAGTTCGCCACATATCTTTGCAATTGGACAGTCAGGCCAGCTTTTAGGCTGTTTTTGGGACATGTAGCTGGACGCACTCCTGCACCAGTTGGGATGGAGAGAAAGCCCCTCACTGGGAGACCCACCAAAGCTGGAGAATTTCCTCCATCCACCGTGTCTCCCCGCACGCAAGGTCAAGCAGGCGCTCTTGGAGTTGCAGGCCTTGGAAGAGCTGCTTGGCATGGCATCCTTTCAGCTTCCGGGTGAAACGAGCAGAGAAAAATCGGAAAGCCAAGGCAGCAGCTCGAGGACGCCGGTTGCGGTGTTTCGTGGTATGGCGGAACTTGTTTACTAGGGGCTGGCAGGGAATGCACAACTAGGACATTTTCTTAAAGATTGTTCTCAATCAGGAAGTTTTAAGCATGGCCCGCAAAGAAGGAGTTTTGACTGTGGCACACTCGCTACTGGTAGTTCAGCTTTCAAGTGCACGTGCTAGTTGTTGCCTGCTGGACTCCGTGGTTTTGTCCTTGCTTGACTTGATTTGGAGACATGCACGGATTGCTAGGAGCTGAAGGCTTTGGAAACGGCAGCAGAGCGGCCAGCAGCTCCCTTGTGAGATGCATGGATGTCGTTGCTGTGCCTTGCATGCGCTACGACAATGTAGGTTCCGCTGCTTGGGTGGAAAAATCACCATTGTGTGTCGTATGTGGCCCATGGATTGTATCTCACGTAATGCTGAACCTGTGAACCTGCTTGAGCTTGGTTGTTGGCAACGTTGACATGCATTGGTTGGGGGGGGGGGCAGGGCGGACAAAAAATCATGTTGTGCAAAACTGCAAAAACCGCAATCAATAGCCTCAATCAGAATCTCAACAAGTGAAGGTGAGTAGGGGTGATCCCTGCAATAAACAAGGTGTGGCCGCCCCTTAAATTCCTGACTTGGTTTCAAAAACCAAACATTGACAGTGATTCATACTCGACCGGTTTCAATGGCGACCGTCATTGAAGATGTCGATGACGATGACTGCACCGAAGTGCAGGCGCAAATTCTGGCATTGTACATTTGCAGTTGCTGCATGTTTCACTTACGAAGGCAATGCGTGGGTTTCAGTTTTGAAGGTGATGGCCGCGCCTGGAAAAGGCGCCAGGCCGGCTGAGCACCTGGGACACGTCGGTGTGTCATGCATGAGCCTGTTTTCAGCTGAGCAATTTGGATACGAATCAACGCAATGTGCTTGCAGTTCAATGGTGTGCATGCCAGGATCAATATTTGCGTCGAAGATGCTGAGGAGGCATTGATAATGACAAAGTTTGGATTGCCGATTTGCATCTCCACACAGGGTTTATTCAATCCGGTTGGCCTTTTTTCAAGTGAATGCAAGCATGTTGCTGATGGCTGATGCACCGCAAGGATTAGCCTGGGGATGGTTCGAAGTTCGGGCAACATACCGCAAAAGTCCATCGGTTGATTTCACCGTGCAAGGTTGCTTCTAAGCTGAAACCAGCAAGAGGCAGAGCTGCAGCCAAACGCGGCACACACCTTAGCTGACTGTCGAAAGCGACATGTGAACACCTGATGCGGTGATTGTTTTGGATGGCAACGCGTTCAGCATGTTGGCCAATCATTTACATCAGAGCAATCCATTGATATTGTTCAATCAGTTGTTTTTCTGCCTTACCTGGTGCAGAACGTAACAACCAAGCATGAATGAGTGACCCTGAGTCGGAAAAGTAGAATGCTCGTAGGAAGTCCGATTTTTTGTATGGTATTCATGGGCTCAATTGCTAGCTTTGGATCTCTCAATTTTGCACGAGGCGCTACAGTGGTGGAAGATTCCAGCAGTTCCAGCTCAGGCGGGCTGTTTGGGTCTTGAGGAAACGATTCCGCAACTGACCATGATGCTCTCTTTGGACCAACTCAATGGCCCCCCTGCCTGCGCTTCTGCCATCGAGCTGCACATGGTTCAATGAATTGCGTAGAGCATCTTCGCGCATGCAGACCCAAACAGCCAGCCTTGGTGGCTTTGTGTTGACTCCCCGAAAAAGGAAGTTTAGGGTTACAGAGGACAACGCATACTTACCACACTAATGGCTGTAATATGCCACAAGCACAAACCGGACGACTGTCCATTTCACCGGCTGTGCAAGCGCCATGAATTGAATCCATGCCAGCATGACCCAATGAACTGGCAATCCTTTTTCCAAACAACTCCGCCACGGTCTCCCCATTTACTGGACAAACCACCGCGCAGTTGACTGGATTTGTTGCTCATAGTATGTTTGGCAGAAAGTACATGAATAGAAATGTAGCCTTCTAAGAAAAAGTTCGCGCAGAGAAAGCTAGTCAGAAGTCCCGTGGTTTGATCAGATTCCTTTGTTCCTTACAAAAACACTGATCCAACCATTTGTGCCCCGGGTGCTTTCCCAAAATATGTGAAGACACGGGAGTTGTTTTATTCGTCCAAGACTACTATAAGAATGGGACAGTTTGATTTCCGTTCATGTCATTTGAACCTTTTTAGCAGGCGAAGACGCCGCGAGTGCTGGCAAGAATCCCAATGTTTACGTTACCCTTGCTTAAACACGCATGTGTTTTTGCTTGCCATGTCCAAAGCAATTTCTTGAGGAATGTATTTCGCAGCAGGTTGGCGCAAATTATGCCTTGAATGCCGGTACCAGTTGGGCGGCACCCATTTTGCGTTTTTGTCGGCAAGCTTGTGTTAGGTTCAGGCGAAACGCAGCCAAGGTAAGGTACAGGATTCCCGCAGTGTTCACCTTGTCATGTTGCCAATTGCCCAAGTGGCCGGCAGCGAAAGCGCTGTTACGCCCAAACGTATTTCAGCCGGAAGTCACAGCTTGAATGCACACACACACATAAATGGATATCGTATATATAGATATATATATATATGCATAAACATCACTATACTGAAGGGAGCGCTGTGGAGGCCTGCGTTTTTCCAAGAGCTCAAACTACGAATTGGACATGGCCTGTATTTGGCGTGTGCAACGCCGATATTGCACCTTGCGGTGCTCATTCCAGTCGTCAACCACCCCAATCCACCAGAATTCGAGAGTTGGTGTGTTCCTTTCAACAGGGAAAATATGAATTGCCCAAGCAGCCATACTTCGTTTGAGCTGAGTCAAAACCCCCGCAATGGGGAGCCAAGCAAACCAGATTGCAACCCTTTAGTTGAACAAACCCGCTTTTCATGGTTGTGTTCCTTTTAACTTCCTCTTCGGGTATGGTGCATGAATTTTGTACTTGCCATCAAGGGATATGTCCCCAACAAACACTTTTGGGGACGTATCGTTTTGGCTTACTTTTGGCTCAAGGAAAGAGGGGCGTGCGTACGCATTGTGCTGCCATAGTACTGCGCGTTCTTGATTCACTTGAATCCTAGTATTTCAACTGGTTATCAGCCGTACGCGGCTCAACGGCTGCCTGACCGAAGTCCTCGTATTGTCGCGACGGACGAAGCGCCGTGGGATTTGGGCTGGTGCAGCAGCTAGGCGCCGGAGAGAGGCATACTTGAATTTTCGAGTTGCCCAGGGCGAGGAGCGTGGCTCGATTCCTGTGAGGCATTGTGGTGGTTCGGATTGGCCTTTGGGACATCCTGCGACACCTTCTCCTGAGGGGGAAGAGGGAGGACGGTTGCCTTGACTGCTGACAGCTGTTCGGCAGAGCTTGTTGGGGACACTGTGCTTTTGAAATCCTGCTCGGCGAGGAATCTGGACACTGTTGCATCTTCTAGCTCTGTTTTGTCAGAATCTGTTCGAGCTGATCTCGCTTGGCACAAGCCATTGCCACCGCCTACGCATCCTCCGCCTGCTGACGTTTGCGACGCTTGTTTGCACTATGCTGCTTCTGGTTCTGCAACCGACCAAGGCCCAGCAAATCTTGCAGGTTGGTTATTGGACAAGAGCAAGAGCAGTCTGGCACCATCAAGTTCCGCGCTATCCCTTGGAGGCAAGCCGAACTTCTGGGCTCAGGCCACACAGGATCCTTCTGGTACTGGCGTTGTCCCAGCTGTTCGTCCGGGGCCTCCTGCGTCTGGTCTTCATCAGCGGCCGCCGCAAATCTTGCGCCAGGTTGTTGTCAGGGCTGGTGCAGAGATCGAACCGTTTGTCAACCGCAACGCATCGACTGTGATAGTGTTTGACTGGCACCAAGTTTGTGACGTGGTGAGGGTTTGAGGCCAGATATCTGAGTGGATAGGAAAGCAGGGCTCATTTACCATTGGCAAATATTGCATCATTGGAGTCAATCAAACAACGGGTTGACGCTCGGACGCAGATCGCTGTTTGCTCCTACATCCCACCTGCCACAATTTTGATTTTGACGCCTTACATATTACGCCAGAGCGACGGCCGAGATCCACCTGGGAAGTGCTTTAGCCTTTCTTTGATCCACCCTGCAGCTCGTATCATCATCGTTGATGATTCCACTCAAGTGCTGACAGAAGCAGTTGCTCATCACCGATTCACTGGACCTCCATCCCGCATTTCACTTGCAACCTCTTGAATAGCTTGAATTGTGGAGTGCAATCAGCTTGCGGGCAGTTTGCAATGTACAGCAGCCACAGACCAGGCATTTGTGTGTCTGCGGCCCAGTCACCTAGGCGCACGATCATCATCATCATCATCATCTGCCACTCTGTGTTACCTTACCACGTGACTGAGTTGATTTAGGTAGTCCGTAATGAGTGAAGAGACTAGCATGGAGCTGTCAAGTAGCTCACGGTCAGTCATCCAGCTGGAGCCGCCTTTTTTCCCAGGGAGTCCGTCTGGAAACCGGGAATCCGGGAATGGAATGTTGTTTCTGCCCTCTGTTGCAACCCTGATCGTGATGTTGCCAATCTGTCAGTTTTGATCAGGCAAAATACTCAGCAGAATCTTTTCCAGACTGTGAATGCACAAGTGAATGTTGTTGTGACCCACTAGCAGTAGCTACGTGCTCCATCATGCACGCCAAGCTGCTGAGAGTGCCAGCCAACAGTCGCAAAGAGCTGATGATGCGGAACTCAGGGCTCATCAAACCTCTGTCCAGGCCCTTGTTCGAGGGAACAAGTGTTGCAGCTTTCTTCTGTGGTTGAAGGTTTGCAGCGCGACAACCAACAGCCTGCAACGATTGGAGCAAGTGCAGAGAGAAGCCACGAGACACATCCAAGCCCGTGAGGCCGAGATCGGCTGGCTGCGTCACGCGTCGCAGGGGGGCAACGCGGCTGAAGTGTGCTTGATTGCAACTCGTCCAGTAGATGCCCCAACGCCTGTTCAAATTGTCGAGGATACTCACGAACCTTTTGCAGACGGTTCTCATGTTGCTCAGATTCTGGAAGCCATCTCGTCAGATCGTGTCAATGCAAATGAAACCAGTGGCCAAAATAGCGCGGTTCCAATTCAACAGGGTAATCGTCCCAAAGATTCACCTACACATGCGATTGGAAATCCAATCCCTACACTTGTGGAGCGTGATGCCGATCATGGAAGCGTGGACTCATTCTGTCCTGTGCCAAGCGGCTTGAGACACGCCCGCCATGGCGGATGCAATCATAGCCACCGCAAATGCTGGCATCGCTTTGGGTTTCGGCTTCGGCTTCGCTGCTGCAGGCTTAGCGCTGGGCTTGGCGCCAGTCTTGACATGAGCATACTCGCACTTTTATCCATCTGAAAGAAAACGCAAGGCTTCGGGGCTCTGCTCTTTAGTCAAGGGCGTGCCTTTCTTCCCCTGCCTTTCCCTTCTTCTTTGATGGGCTTTCATCCCCCCTGAAGGAGGCGACCCTGCTCGGCGATGAGGTCTTTGGTCCAATTCTCTTGTGGACTGGCTGCACATGAGATCCGCAGCAGACAGCGTGCGTGTGGAACCTCCTGCAAGTGTGCCTGAAGCTGCCGATGCTCCGGCATCAGCAACATACCCGAGCCGACTGCATTGGTGCAGAAATTGGCCTTGGACCACTTGATAGTTCACAAAACCGCAAGGAGTTTGTTAATCGTTCGGGTAGCTCTGGCTAAGAACCGAAAACTTATCGTCAAACCTGATCAGGCCCCAGAGATTCTAAAAGCAGTTCATGACTTGTGCTGGGTGCCAGATGCAAGTCTTCCGGGCCGCTGGGCGCGACATGCGAAGCTTTGAGGAGACAGTCCGTTGTGCGCACTTGCCAGCTGGTTTCTCAGTTCGCCCAGAGTTGTGGCCGGTGTCCTGCCGATATGCTGCCACTGCTTTGTCGGTGTCCCGTGGATCTTGGTCGCTTGCAAAGGGTTTGCTGATGAAATGGAGACCTTAGGTTTGGAAGCATCATTAGTGGAAGGCATGTCCGCCCAGGGAATGTCGAGTGATCCTCCGGGTCGCCAAACTAAAGGCGCCAACCTTGGAAGTGGCATATTGTTTAAGTTTTGTTGCTCGCCGATTCAGTTTTGGGTTCTGTTGGAAAGGAGCTTGGCATCAAGGTTGTCCGACTGCATAAGGAAGGCATTGACATCAGTAGTTCAGAAGCCATTGGTCAGTTAAGCTATCAGGCTACGGCCGTGCCTGGAAGCTTGACCCATGGTAGTTTGGAACGCACGGCCTGGCGCCGATGGCAATGCCTGAATTGCTTTAAATAGTGTCGGGAGGTCAAGCTGTCCTTGCGATTGTATCTAAAGGATACTCTTCCAAATTGCGGCACTTGCGAAAGACTCATAAGACCTATGTCGCCTCATCGCCCTTAGAAGTGGGGCGCTGCCCTTGACTTGACCCATGTTGGGGATGTTCCGAAGTCGAACACCTCACCTGCCCCTGCCGTGTTTGGCTGCTTCGAGCGCCTCACGCCATGAAGTGAGCGCAATTAGGTTTCACGTGAAGTGACTTGCGTGACAATGCTTGGCTTTCACCAGGTCGTTGCTAGTCACCCTTGTGTCGCCAGTTTGGAGCTTTTGTGTCTTGGTTCACATTGCAGCAGAGAAACTTGTGTGTGCTTGTGCCCTAAAGCCGGTGTCCTTGTGGGATGACCGGCGTGCCGCACTTCAGCAATTGCCAATCATTGCCAATCCCGTGACAAGCATAATTGAGTGCAAAATGTGCCACTAGGCTTTGAAAATCTTAGCCCAAATAAATCTGTGCAGCATTTGACGGTGGGCTTCGTTGTTCCCGCTTGAGTGCCGTGTGTCGTCATTGCTTTTGTGTCCTACATCTCAATTCTTGACATGCTGTTTTGCCGCTGAAGCGCATCAGCCAGCAACTTGAGAGGGCGCCTTTTGCCTGGATCATTAATTCAATCCGTGTCATTACTTCGAGAATTGTCTTTTGGTCGCCTTTGTAAGTTGATGCAATGATTCTAGCAAGGGATGAAATCACCCTTCGCTGCGATCCGTTCAGCACCAACCCAAATCACAAGAGGGGGGAGTTGAACAAACCCGCTCTTCATGGGGTTGTGTTCCGTTTAACTTCCTCTTCGGGTATGGTGCGTGAGTTTTGTACTTGCCGTCAAGGGATACGTCCCCAACAAACACTTTTGGGGACGTATCGTTTTGGCTTACTTTTGGCTCAAGGAAAAAGGGACGTGCGTACGCATTGTGCTGCCATAGTACTTGGCGCTCTTGATTCACTTGAATCCTGGTGTTTCAACTCCTTTCGGCCCCCTTGTCGGCGTGTATGTTTTTCACCCGCCTGGCGTTCGTGTGTTGTTTTGTAGGGGTCCATTTCATGGTAAGAAAGGAACATTTGTTTCAGGAGGGTTTTTTCACCTTCCGAGTCTTTGAGGGATTCTCATGTTTAAGGGTGGCTTCCAATTTAAAAGGGTCGGTTTAGCACGTCTCGCTAAAATGGCCTCGAAGCCGGCGCCACTTAGCGCAGGCTCCCGCAGCCGTAGCCAGCGGCGGCATGGTGGTGCCGCCGCAGCCGCGGCGCTGTTGTCCGCGCAAGCGCCGTTGGACGTCGATGAGGTGTGCGCAGTTTCCATTTGTGGGTTCCACGGTTCAATTGCTTCAGCTCACTTCGTGAGTTCATGGACTTCGTACTTTTTGGGTGGACCATTTGAGTGGTTGAGTCAGGGTAGGCCAGGGTCTCAGGTCTCTTTTGTTTAGGGTTTGGGCGGTTCAAGTGCAGTTCTTTTTTCGGGGGGGGATGTGTACCACCCCCATGAGGTAGACTTACAGCCAGGGGTGGGTTTGTTATCCCCAAAGGAGAACCATTTGGTTCATGTTTGCCAGAGGGTAATTAGTCGAAGGGGCGGGGGACAACCACGCCCTTCTTGCGTTCCTTGGGTATTTCCTTGCTTCGTAAAACCAAGACTTAGCCTCTTTAAACTCGTTTTCCACTTGGTAAAAAACAACGGAGGCTTAGCCAAAGACCAGGTGCACGGGGAACTCAAGACCATGACAAACGGATTTCGATACTGGCACTGGCTGCTTTGGCTCTGCTTTAGACAAACAGTTGGGGGAAGTGTCGACATAGCAAACGCAAGCGTGCTACGCAAAAACTGTTTGTGTGGAAGGAAGTGAAATGTGCACAGAGAGCAATCCGAATTGCTAGAATGCCATGGTTTAGGCTCGCTGCCTGATAAGCACGCAAAAGTTGTTTTGCTGCAGCCACGCGGCAAACCTTTGTACTGTATTTGTGACAGCCGATAAAATTGGTGCGTGCAACGAACATGATGTGGATTCTGTGTGGTTTTCTAGCTAGAAGAGTCCGAGAACAGCGTTCTTGTCCAATGGTCCGTCGTCAATCCATAAAAAATGATTGAGCAGTTTGACAGATGCCAAGAAATAGTCAGAATCGTGTGTGTTTTGTGTCTGGAGTTTCCCAATGAGCTCTCCAAACAACTGTGTGTACAAGTGCAAACTCCTGGATTTTGTCGACTTGGTGAACACCATGGAGCTTATGGCCAAACACCAGACTGAGGAGTTTGGTTTGCTTGTTTTCCATGAGCACTTGTATGTGAGCTCCGTGCATAGAGGTTTGGCTGGCCCTCGCAGCCTCGCACTGCCACAGGCAGAGCGTCTCATCCAGCGCGTTCTCTCGTTCCCTACGCGTTTCGCCGGTAGCTTGCAACACGAAGGTGGCCTTGTGGCTGTCATGGCGGAGCCATGGCTGCAATGTTTTGCAAGTTTTCTGCGAATGATACCAACGGTGCAACTTGGGAAGCTGTGCATTCCCTAGCCTCGCAGTGGATTCCACGAGGATAGTGTTGGAATCCAGCCATGATTGCACAGTCTTGGAGTTTTGTGCGCACAATATGCACACATTTCTCTCTCTCTCTCTCTCTCGCTCTCTCTCTTCCTCGCTCTCTCTCTCTCTTTCTCAATCTTTGATGTGAAACGTTTGTCTCACCTGAGGAATGTGATGTCAACATCAGCGTCCAGCCAGAAAGCGACAGCCTGCAAAACACGGCCATCCATATAGCGGGCACCGCCCATTCTGTGGGCAGGGCAGTCTCTCAGATAGAGCTGCAATTCGAGGCCTTTGCTGAGGCAAGGTGCAGCGCAAATCGGAGCAGCGCAAATCGGAGCACATATCCATCCTTTGAGTCTTTACTTAAATGTGGGAAGACCTGCTTGTGTACCATAATGACTGATATGATACTGGCTCAGGAACCATGCAAAATACCTGCAACATGTTCCCCAAATTGCGACATGTAAGAAAATCATTCCAACTTTAATCATGCGAATCCAGCAGTGCTGCGCAGGCCGAAAGGAAAGCAAAGGCTGAAGCCGACAGTGGACATATGGAATCCTAGCTCGCAAATGCAAAAGGGAGGTACATGATATTGTCAGATGGTCCTTTAAGGTGTTCCGATACGAGTTTACCCCTGGGAAATCATTAGCCCATGGCCTTGTAGTTTGCATGTCTTAGTTGCGCAATGCATCCATGGTTGTAGATTGCTATTTTTTTTTTCTCCCTTTGCGTGCTAAAGTGATCATTCTGATGAGAATCAAATTCCCATGGTTTCCTTCGCTGGACAAAATTGAAAAGAACATGTGCAACCGGGAGGGGGGCTGAGGATGAATCAACAAGCTTGGCATCACAGAAAGTAAACCATTTTGCTTCGCTTCTTTCTCGCCGTGCGAGGAAGAAACCCAGATCCCACAGAATGTCCTCAGCGCTGCTTTGGGGCCAAACGGTGCAGACTTGCCGAAGGCGCGATGTTGAAAGTGGCTCCAAAATGTGCCACGAAGACAATCGTCAATCCTGGTTCGACGCCATCTTTCATAAGGTCTCCCAAGTATAAGCCACTCTTCAAAGAACGTTGGAGCACCGCTCAGAACCCCAAATCCAACATGTTCAAGAATGCATTTGCGCACGGTTGCCAATGTCGTTGCCAATAGTTTTGCGGAGCCGGGTTTTTGTTCGTGGCCAAAGCCTTTTGATTCCAATTGTACATACAAGATTTATAAAAAAAAAATGGCAACCCACACACACACACACTCACACACGCACACACAGTTCCTGCAAGAGTGGCAGATTGTTCAACTAAACGCGGTTGGCCCATTCTTCTTTACCTTTCTGCATTTTGCCCGGAGGTACGACAGAAATTTGGAGGCATCATGATTGCACTGATGCCGCCGAAGGATGGGGTATTCACGGCAATGATCGGCCCGGGAACGGAAGAGCAGGCCCAACGGCTGACGTACGTGAAGACCGATGGATTCCACCGTTTTTTTGTTTTTCTTTTTTTTCTCCGATTTTGGCCCTACTTGCCATCTTATTTTCCCAGGCACCTAGACTCCTACGTGCGCATTTGGTTTCACCTTGTCGAAGGATTCCATGGCTGCAAAATTGCATGGAAGCCAAACCCCTCGAGCCCTCCTTTTGGGGGTTCCGGTCTCCTGTGGGCAAACCGCGAAGGTGCAGCAGGCCAAAGCAGACTTGCTGCAGAGGGTGGCAGTGGCAACGTCTCAAGACACGCCGCGGGACAAGGCTCGGCTAAAAAGTGTGTACAGCTCTTGATGTTCGTGCCATTGTGTCATGTGTTTCTTGGGAACACCTGGCAAGGCGGTGGAGTCTTCCAGGTGAGGAGTTGCTTGCAATGTGTGCGTGTGTGTTTTGTACTGGCAGTGCGTGTGCGCATTCCAGGCTTTCTGATGGATATAGTGCGCTCATGGCGGATGTGGACGCAGCAGAGAAAGGATGAAACACAGTTGCAGCCCAGCGTCATGGCAAGCAGAGCAACATGAGAAAGCTAGTGAATGCCAGGGCACTTCCCATTGATAGTTTGCCCGGGCATTTCACTGTAAGTTGTGGCTCGTCAAATATGTTGAATGCCTTTGAGTAGTTCAAGGCGTCCGCAGTTGGGCTTCAAGGTAGCAGGGAGCGTAGGAGCTTCGGAGCCGTTCGGCTTTCTTCATATTTGATAAAGCGTCTTGGCTGCAAGTCTCTAAGGGTTTTTGTATTACACCCTGGGATTACACCCACTGGGTATTGACCCCATTTAGGCACATTTCCGGATAAAACCGTGTTATTTTGAACCATTCTGGGTCATTTCCCAAAAGTGTAATCCCAGCATGTAATACAAAAATCCTCAGAAAATCGATGTCAGTGTTGTGCACCTGCCTCGCTCTGCCCATCTTCGCGTGATGCGTGCTGTCAGACTGGCAATGTCTGCACTACTCTGGGCTTCGCGGAGTTGTGATTCAAATGATATGTTTGGTTTTTCCTTTCGCGGCTCATAGCTGCTCAAGACACATACAGACATGCATCTCGGGAGGGTAAACCACATGCAACACATTTGCCGTGTGCCAATGTGCAAAGTATCCAGCTAAGGTTTGCAATATCAAGTAATGAAGCTTGAAGTCAGCCTGCGAAGAGTCGAATCAGGTCTTCTCCTCGATTGTGTTTTGTACACTCTATCCCAGACATACACATTGGCAAGAAGCCTAATCTCTAGGATTCTCTACGGTGTATGTGACATATGTGTTGATGACTTCCCTGCCGCTCGGCATTTCGCGGAAATGTGACGCTTTCCGCCATGTTCTCTGCTTGGGCTGTAGCACGGGCGGGCTTCGCCTCTGTGCGACGGGCCAGGCCAAGCCCGCCGCCCTATGAGCCCCGAATCAAGCTCCCCGCCGCTGCCGAAGCGGCCAAGGAGGCGCCCGGACTCGCGGAGGACTTGGGCTTCGTGTTCCAAGAGCCCAAGGGAGCGCCCGAGCAAAGGCCCCTGAATACCTCGGAGGCAGCACTGCAGGCGGGGCTTGCGAATGAAGCAGCAAAGAGAACAGAGGTGCATTTTGCTCGGCGCAGTTTGCTCGGCGCATGTTGCTTCCATTAAACCGCCCAAAGTTGAACTTTTAGCAGAGCAGAAGCAACCGAGAGAAAGATCCGAGCCCCAGGCCCAGATCAGCAACGCGCGGTCCTTGGGCCACCTGCTGGACGTGGTGCGCACGCCGGACCACTTGGATGCTCTCCATGCCGCCACGGCGCTGTACAAGCTGGCACGGCTTGGCCCACGCAAGGGGCAGCAGGCGAGGAGACAACGCTAAAATGTGTTTTTTTTTTGCAGGGCGCAACTGGCCCCCCTCCAAAAACAGATCGGTGAGTAGCATCACATGTTTAAGCTCCCCCAATATGGTCCCCAGCCGCTTGACTTCACAGATCCTTGCACCCAGAGAGAAGCTAGAGGAAGCGATTGGGACAGGCCCTGGTGGGTTTGGAGCCGGTGGGCGCGCTGATCCAACGGCTTGGGGAGCCGGGAGCAGTGGAGCTGGACCCCCAGGCGTCCACGTGCCTCCTGTGGGCGGTGGCGCGCTTGGGGAAGGTGCCGTGGCTGTCGGACTTGGCAAACCACATGGCCAGGCCGGGAACCACAGCGCTAAGTCGATCAGTCAGGACTTGGCAGAAAAGGGAGGTGATGTCAGATTAACTTGAAACAAGTTGTTTCACACACACTCTTTGGCGTGTTTCGAATCTCTCTTTGAGTGGTTGTTTCTGTGGAGACGGGACAAGGGAGGCTGGCAGGGGAGGCTGTCAGCCGTTCCCATGAGGTCAGTGCCCGATTTTTCGGGTCACCAGCTGGCCACAGCCCTTTACGCGTTGGCGCGGCTGGACACTCACCTGGAGCCTTTGTTGGAAGCTCTGCATTTGGAGCTCCAGCGACGGCAGAAGGCAATGGGCCCAGGTGGGACTCGAGCCGAGTCCGGTCCCTTGGGTTGGGAAGCCTTTGGATGAGGGGAAAGCTGAAATGAACACCCGGCCTTTTGGAGGGGCCAAATTGCGCACACACACACACAATGTGTCAGGTGCCACGAGCGCAATGGACACCATCCTCATAGTGGACTCCCTGGCAAAGCTCCAGATCCGTGATGAGGCGCTGTTCAGTTCCCTGGCCCAGGCAGGCTTGTGCAGTGTTTCAGCCACCAGCTGTTGGCTGGCAAAGCCAGGGGAGATTGCTTGCGACAATTATTTGAACATATTTTAACTGTTTCCAAATGACGTGGCTATGTTGCTGAAACAAAAACATGTTTTGCAGGATGTTTCAGTTGTGTTGCCCATTGGCCCAGCCTCAGGCCCTGCGAAACCATTTGGATGCCAACGAGCTCGGGGTGCGTGAGGCGCGCCACGCGGCCTCGGCCTTTGCCAGTGCGGGGCTATTGGACAAGAAGCTGACCCGGAGGCCAGTGCTTCGGTCTAAACCCGTAAGCAATCGAAACCTAGGTGGGTGTGGATCAAAATGAAGCCACCAGGAATTGGAGCGCAGGTTTTAGTCTTTGGTTCCATTTAAAGTCTACCTCTGATGAATAAACACACACACCCCTTCCCCCCCTAAACAACCTCCCTCCCCAAATAGTTTTCCCAACTTGAGTATGAATTGCTAAGTATTGCACACAGATTTGTGTGTTTCAACTGATGTATTGCTGGAGCTTCCTTTTGAGATTGGATTCGGGTTTCCAATTGGTTTAGTATTGGTGGATTTGAGTTTTCAATTCATTTCGTATTGCTGGAGCCTCCTTTTGAGATTTGACTTGAGGGATTTGAGTTTACAATTGGTTTAGTATTGCTGGAGCCTCCTTTTGAGATTTGACTTGTTGAGATTCCAACTGATTTAGTATTGCTGGTGATACTCTCTCTTTTTTTTTGTGGGGGGGGGCAACCAGGAATCTTTGTTTAGGGGGGGGGGGCCCTAAATAACGTTTTTTTCAACCCCCAAGTACTACCCCCTTGTGGGGTTGATTGGGGGCCACTTTTTAAGCAAGAGTATGTAAATAATTTGCAGTTTGGGAGCTAATATGTTTTGTAGATCTGAAATATTAAGGCAAGCGAGGCAGATACTGACCAATCAGACAAGCTAGTGGAAGAGGTTGAGATGATGCTAGCGGGTGTGTGTGTGTGTGTTGTTTGGTGTGTTTTTGTGAGTGTGTGTGTGTGGATACCCCGGAGAGAAAAAAAAAACATAACTTTATTTCGGGGGGGTTATTAGTCAGTGCCGGCCCACAACATAACTTTAATCGGGGGAGGTGTTTTAATCATAGGTCGACGATACCAGGGTTCCATTTTGGGTACCTATTTTTGACCCACAGCCAGGTAGTTGGGCTGTTTGGGTTGCTGGGAAATTGGCTGTTGGGTGAAGGGTTGTTGGGCTGTTGGGTCCAGGGATAGTCCCCAGAAAGAGGAGCGGACGCCTTTCAATTTCCCCGGATTTGGGGCCATGTCAATACCAGTGATGTGCGAAAACTGGTCAAGGCTTGTCGGGATGGCCTTTACCATCCCATGCATGTTTCGATATTTTACCATGGGCCGTCGGGTGGTTAAAACTCAAGCGCTTGAATGTCACGTTCACACAAGGGGCAACGGCCAACTCTTGCCACAGGCTGCTGGAGTGGTTGACACCGCGCCTGCCCGAGATCACTGGGGAGGATTTGGCGGCTTTGGCCTTTTTTCTCTCCAGGGCGGAGGCGGGGTGAGCAGAATGCAGGGTCTAACGATCATCCAGAGGGTTTTGAGGGTTTGTTGTTGTCCTTGATAGGGTATCGGGAAGACAACTTGACCATGTGGGATCCCAAATGACGTTTAAAAAAAAAAAAAGCAAAGCTCGAAGTTTAGGCATGCTTATGCAGGTGCCTGCTCCGATTTTGCCCAGGTGGCCGGCTACGCCCACCGGAGCTTCTTCGAGGCTTTGCAACCAGAGGTCATGGGGCGGGTGCAGCGGGGTGAGCTGGGGGCAAAGGATGCGGCGAGCTTCATCGTCAGCCTCTCGCAGGCAGGACTTCTGGAGGCCGAGTTGGTTCAACGCTTGGTGCCCCTGATCCAGCGGTCGCCGGCAGTCCTCAACGGCCACTTTTTGGCCCTGGTGGTGCCTTGCATCAGCCCCTTTGCGCAAAGCGTTGACCTCAAAGAGCTCATGGAGGTCCTTGCAGAGAGGACCAACCAGTTGGCCATGACGTTGTCCCCTCGCCAGCTGGCGCGTTTGGCCATTGGCTTCGGGGAGGGCCAAGTGAAATCCGCCTCACTTTGGCAGTCCTTGGCGCGAGAGGCTTTGTCCAAGAGCCAGGCCTTCTCTGCGCCCGATGCGCTTCGGCTGCTCACGGGTTTTCACAGCAACGTGCAGAATCCCAGGGTTTTGAAGACTTTTTGGGCCTTGGTCGCGGAGAAGAAGTCCAAGTACCTGGTGGAAGAGCTGCTGGCGTTGCTGCAACTCTGGCCCCAGCTGCCCCCCGATCTGCGGACTGATCCAGAGCTGCCCCGTGAGCTGGTGAAACAGCTGCGGAACCGCTTGGAGAAGGGAAATCGGGGCTTGACTTGGCAGGCTCCAAAATGAAATGCCTCGAAAAGTTGGGTCCTAAGTTCTCATGTAAACCATCCAAGGGGTTCCGATTTTGCGACCGGCATCAAAGACTTTGGAGAAAGTGGCCCAAACAACGCAAATCCCCGTCACAGACTTTGGAGAAAGCGGCCCCGTTCGGCCAAAAAACAACAACAACGCAAAAGACACAAAAATCCCCAGGCTCCGGCGGCCTTGGGGGTGGAACTTTGGGAGTGGCTGGCCAGCGGCTGCCGGAGCCTGCGGGGCGGCCTGGACCAGCGGCTGCTGAAGGCGCTGATGGCCCAGCTCCCGCGCCAGCTGGACTCAGAGCACCGGGTGAGGCTGCTGCACGCGCTGTGCCAGGCGAGCCAACGCGTCAATTGGGGCAGGGGGGGGTCTTTTTTGTCACTGTTTTTTCATTTTTTTCTCCAACCCCTCGTAGTGAAGGATTCCTTTGGAAAGGGGGTCTCACAGGTAGCAAAAGGACCCCCTGAATTGGGGGGGCAATAAAAAAGACACGTTGAAATTGATGAGCAAATCCGCGCATCTTGAAGACATTCTTGTTGAAGAACTGGGAGTTGCTGGGCCTTGACTGAGGACCCAGAGATCTTTGGGAAGGTGCGGGAGGAGTTGCAGCAGCAGGAGACTTTGCGAGTAGCGCTGGGA